GGTCTCTCACCACAAGCAGCCAGGCCAGAAGCCCCCTGGATGGGTGAGGTGAGGCGATTTAGCACAGATCAGGTCTGGAGTTTTACTTCTTACCTGGATCTAGTGTCTGGGGACCAGTGGGGACAGTAGGTGACTCAAAGCATCTGCAGGAAAGGCAGGACATGCCAGGGATGTCATTCAGGGCAGATGCTGACTTGCACTGCATAGCTGCACGGGGCAACCAGGACAGACCATAGAGTGCTCTTGGCCCTTACTGGCCCCCTGCTGGCTCCTTGTGTTGGAGGCAGGCAGTGTACCTGTCCACATCCCTGTGCTCAGCAATCAGCTCTGCTACTTCCTTCCTGCACGAGGCTGGGTAAGTGCCTGGGCACAGCAGGGCCCACCTCACAAGGTGGGTGTCAGGGCACAGAGGAGGCCGAGGCAGTCTTGGGATAGTGCTCGGCAATCTATGCTCAGCCAAGGTTGCTTTGATACCAAGGTTGAGGAAGAGGGTGATGATGCAGCATTTCTCAGCCTGTTTCCCCCCTGTGAACTGGTTGGAGTGGTCCTATTAAAATGTGTCCACAAAGTCCCTCCTGCTCTGGTGAGTGGTAGGGCCTCTGTCCACTGTCTTTGGACCTGGGCTGGCCCCTGTGGCTGCCTGACTCTCCGAGGGAGGCCAAGGTAAGGCTGTGTGACTTTGAAGGCTGGCTCACTGAGATGCCTCGATATAGCTTCCTCCTTGCCCTTCTGGGAAATCTGCTCTGGGGGACAGCTAGCTGACATGCAGGAGCCTGATAATCCTGAGGTGGCCATACTATGAGGTCACATGCAGAGACCACAGGTATGTGTTCTGCCACCACTGCAGCCACTGCCCCAGCTGGAAGCAAGCACTAGACATGTGAGTGAAGACAGCTCCAGCCCGAGCCCTGTGTGACTTTCAGAATCTATGCATGTCATAAAACAGCTGTTACGTGTCCCTCAGTTCTGGGGCAGCAGGCGATGAAGCAGCACTATCTGCCATAGCTGGTGAGTGCCTGAGTGGGAGCCCGGAGAGGCCCTCAGACTCCCTGTCCAGTGCTTGGGCAGCTGCCTCACCCTGTTCCCATCTGGAGAGCACCAGAGTCTGCTGGGAGGGCCTGGAGCTAACCCCCAGAGGCCAGGAGTGCACACCCATGACCAGGCCTTCTGGTTCTGCCTCAGGGAATACTCCCAGCGGCCTGGCGTAAGAGTCTGTAGAAAACATTGCTGTTCACGGGGAAACTCAAGTTTCAAGGGATCAAACCCACTGCCTGGGGTTGTACAATTCAGAGGTCTTGGAGCTGGGCTCTGAACTCAGGTCTGCCTGAACCCAGAGCAGGACTCTTGCTACCAGGCAATAAAACAAGGAGATAGCAAGGTGTGTCCGAGTGCAGTCCTGAGAGCACCGTGCAGAGAGAAGAGGCCCAGGCTGGGAGTTTCCTTGACTGAGTTACTGCTCAGGAATCTCAGGGGAACCTTGTCCACTGGGGAAGCCGTGTGGAGGTGGGGCTGGCGAAATCTCGAAATGTCTTTACCAGTTCAAGGCACATACAAACATTACTTGCCCTCTGTAGGGGTCATTGTTCTGAATAGTTTTTCTCTCCAGGAAAATATTAGTTCACTTATAAAAACTAAGCATTATATGGAGGAGGGGGCTGAAAAAGGTGGCATTCTTGGGCTTTTTTCTCCACACATTCAGAAACTGAGGTTTCTCCACTTCTTTTCTCACAGTGTATTTTGTCAGGGCAAACCTGCCTGCATGGCCATTCTCCAGGGTGGAAAATGGGGGCAGCTCTTTGCGGAGTGCAGGGGCCAACCCAGAGACCAGCACAGCCACAGCTTGGACCCTACCTCTGATGTTAATCAAGACTGCAGAGAGGTTCAGACCATGAGACCACAGCGGCTATCAGAGCGGAGGTCAAGGTCCCTTGGTCCCGGAGGCAGGGGAGCTGGACAGAGAAGAGTCGGAGTCCCCTGGCCATCTCGATTTGCTCACACTGACCTCCTTCTGGCTCATGCCAGTCCTCTCCTCATGGCACTTGCTGCCTGCCTCTCCCTCAGTGAGAAATGCAGTCCAAGAGGCTGGGATCTCGCCTTACTTGTGCTGGGCACCTGGCTCCTTGCAAGTGCATGGCCCATGCTGGCCCGTGGCATGTAAGCCTCGAGTGAACAAAAGAGCACACTGCAGGGCTTTTCCTTGGCAAGTGTGGGGGGGTGTGGCTGTGGAAAGAGCCCCACGCTGGAGCCTAAACCCCCTTCCTGAGGGGTGAGGGAGGCTGCGTTCCTCCCATTCTTGGGACTGCAAGAGGCACATTCCTGTCCCTGACTCTGGTCGGTCTCTTGCCAAGTGGCTCAAACTGCCAGACCCAGGAGGGCCTCCCTGGAGCGGCCCCTCTGGTCCCACCCTCTAGGGTAACCCTGGTGACCCCAGGCTGCAGCAGCACCCACCTCTCTGTCCTGTAGGGCTGCAAGCGGGAAGCCAGGGCCGCTGAGGGTGTCTGAGCTCTCCAGACACTCCCCAGACTTCTGGCCATCAATGCAAATCTTAACATCCTGCTTGCAGAGCTGAAGCCAGGGATTTGAAAATTGGTGGAAAACACTCCTGTGAGCGGGGGCTTGCTCCACCATGTAGAAAGTTGCCGGCATCAGCACTTCTCCTGAAGGCCATGCAGAGTCAGCAGTCAGCCCACGCTGGAGCTGCCTCCAAGAACAGGTGCCCACAGGGCCCGGAAAGGCTCAGGGGCCAGGGCCAAAGGACAAAGCAGGTGACCACAGGCTTTTGTCCGGGGCCCCACACACTGGGCTCTAGGAATTCCCCACTGGGCCTATCCCTCAAGGGCCTTTATTTTGGTAGAGAAGATAGAAATGAGGCACATGAGCATGTGGATAAGTGGAGGGTGTGCCATGCAGGCAGGAGTGGCACAGAGCACTGGTGGCAGGAGGCTGTCATACGGGGGTAGCACACCTCCGTGAGAGGCCTGGCAGTAAGTACTTTGGGTTTTTCAGGCTCCTGAGTCTTCATCCCAACCACTCAACCCTGCCATTGCAGTGTGAAAGCAAACACAGACAGTGCGTCAGTGGGTGGGAGTGGCTGTGTTTGGTCCTATACAGAATGGGGTGGGCTGGATGTGGCCCAGAGCTGGCCAGCCCCTGTGAAATGGAGCCTGATTAGGTCTGGGGCTGGGGCTGGTAGAAAGGTTTTCTTGAGACAGTGCCATTTAGCTAAAACCTGAAGGCTGAGCCAGGGACAGAGGCTGAATCATAATATTGAGAACCACAGCACCATCATGACAAAACTGTACCTGACAAAGGAGCTCTGGGTCAGGCTCCAGATGCTTTACACGCATGGCCTCAGTAAGTTCCCACAACAGCTCCATGATGAAGGTGTGTGATGTGCCCACTCTACACATGGGGTGTGCATTACTGAGCATTTCAGAGGAGTAAGTTGCCTGGGGGAGGGTTCTAGAATGGGCCCAAGATGGGAAGGTAGAGATTGGACCAGTACTAGAAGCATTCCCTTGCTACTGGGCCATCTGTCAGGAAAAGGCAGGGATATGAAGGAGGTGGTGGAACACTGAGCTCAAGGAAGCCTCATGGAAACCAAGCTGCTCAGCACAAACTTGACACGAATAGCATCTCCTAAGGCTCCAAAGAGCAACTGCATTTCCCTGTCCAAGTTACTAGAGGAGCCCCAGGGTGCCAGCACAGGGTCCAGGCTGCAGGACATAGCTAGCAGAGGTGGAAGAGACAAGGAGCCAGAGTGAACCCAGGGCAGGGCAGAGGCTTTGCAGGGTGGGGCTTACAGGAGGCTGCAGCACAGCTTCCTGCAGGGTCTGTGGTCCTCATCTACCAGGACACATCCTCGCATGGAAGTATGGAGAGAGGGGCTTTGGCAGGCCCTGGGCAGCAGCTTGCCACCCCTTCCCAATCACGGCATGTAGGGCTATGCTGGGCACCTTCCCATGGGCACTCATTTTTGACATTTTAACACGGCTGGGATGATGGTTTTATTATCCCCATTTTGTAGATAAATAAACCGAGGCCTGGGGTGGAGGATAGACACTTGTCTAAAGCTACAGTGGCCTAACCCAGGTTGTTGTGACCTAGAGCTCAAGCCAGGAGGAGGTGCTGTTGGACTCCGGCCCACCTCTCCCTGAGCAGCAGTGGAGATCAACCCCAGTCACTGAGAGTTGGCTGGACAACAAATAAAAAGGAACCATGATGATAATAACAATGAAGCTGCCAACACTGAGCACACATTCACAACATGCCAATGTGAACAGAGTGCTTTCCAGGCCTGAACTTACCAGGCATCATGGCCACCCTGCAAGGGTCTTAGCTCCATTCTGTGGATGAGGTGCTTGAAGATCAGAGAGCTAGGAAATGGCAGAGCTTGGGCCTGATGGCAGAGCCTGGGTCCTTGTTACTAGGGAGCGTGTGTGTGTGTTTCCCTGACAGGTGAATAAATCCAGGCAGATGAGCTGCTTGGATCTAGTGGTAGCAAACACCCGAGACATCCTGTGCATGTGCTGGTGGCACAAAGCCCAAGTCTGGTGCGCTCCTGATGTAAGGGTCCTAGTGGCCTGAAGACCCTGGGGTTTTCTATACTTCATTTTTGTTCCCAATTTAGGGCTCTAACCTTGCCTGTCTTGGGCCTGTTCTGTCCAAGGTTGCTCCAGGGAGCCCCAGCACAGAGGTATCTTGCAGGAATCCCACAAGATTAGGAGCTGGCAGGTGGGCACATGGGCAAGGTTGGCTGTGTGCAGGGACAAGTGAGTGGCTGTTATTATAGACAGCTAAATTAGGTAAAAATATTATAGTTAGTCAGACAGGGCTAGGCCCTCGAGAGAGTCAATACAGAAGACAAAAACACATTACAACTGTGGCCAGAGGCGCATCTGTTAGAGGCCAGGCCTCAGGATGCTGTGCCCTTTGGCTCCACAGGCAAGGCCTGCCCAGGGCTATTCCTGGTTTTGCTCCCACTGAGATAGCTACAATACCTGCAAGATCTTCCTTGGAAGAGACTAGTCTTGGAGAGCTGCTTCCTGGTTCTATTCTGAGCGACAGTCTGAAAACAGAAATTGTCACAAGATCAGAGGGCGCTGGCTTATTACAGGGGGACCGACATGTATCATGGTCAGGGTTGGGAGACGGATAGCTGTTAAGGCTGCAGTAGTCACAGAATCCAGTAATGCTGTGAGATCCGCCCCCATCACAACGGCCTCCTCGGATGCCTGCAGGGGATTTCCATGCTGAAGAAACAATGGTTAAGGAAGACAAAAAATATATAAATAAATACATACATAAATAAAAGTGAGTGACCATAGTCCATGGTTTACTGAGCAGAATGTGTCAATTTGCCCGACAAGGCTATAAATTAGGTGCATTTTATACATGAGGAGACTGAGGAATAGTGAGGTTAAGTAACTCCCTTCCCTAAATTCACATGGCTAGCAAGTGGCAGAGCGGGGTCACGCTGATGCAAATAAAGGTTTCATGGGCTGGACTAGGAAATGGGGATCCTTTCTGGAAAGGGAGACAGCGTCCAGCAAGGTGAAGAAAACCTGAGTCCACAAGCAGGAAGCAGACTGCTTGCTTACTGTGTCTACTGCCTCAAGCTCTCTACTCCCCCAGGCTACAGAAGAAAGGAAATCCAAGAACCCCTAGGCCTCTCAGCAGTAGGAGGGGAAAGCAGCCCCTTTTTCCACGTGGAAGGATGGCCAGACGCCTCCCTCCCTGTATCAGAGCCGTGGAGCATCCAGAAAGAGCCTCCTAAATGGGAGCAAGACAAAAGAAACGGTCCAGAAACACAGCACACCTCCTCTCCCAAAAGAAGACAGAGAAAGGGGGAGAGGACTGCCCCTGGGTGCGACCTAGGAGGTGGCCAGGTAACTGGAAACCCTCTAGTGCTTTGAGTGGAGGAATGACTTATGAGGAACATGGGCTGAACACAAAACCTTGAAAAGTGAGATGATGAAACAAAGGAATAAAATGAAACAGGAGGCTGAGACTGGCTGGGGCAGGGTGGGCTGGGGGACACCCCCAAATCAAAGACTGAAACAAGAGAGGGCTGAGTGAATACCTAAGTGAAAACAGATCGCCAGACACTGCTGAAGATGAGGAGGTGATCGCTGTTAGAAAGGAACTAACGGATGAGGAGGAGCACATTCCTGCCTGGAAGACATAAGCCAAGAAATGGCAGGGAGAAGTCAAAGACACAAACCAATGACACTCCTGGGCGGCGAAGGAGGGTCTGGTGCAAAACCCTCCAGCAGAGGACTTCCCTCACCCTTCACCTACCAGGCAGACCAAACAAAGAACTTTCAAAGGGAGAAACTCAGACTGGCTTCAGACTTCACTACAGCAGCACCCAGTGCCAGGGGGCAACAGCTTGGGGTCTGCATGTCGGGGAGAGAGCTGAGGAGGGCAGCCAGCAAGGCCAGGCTTGACAAATGCAACGCTTTCATGGAGAACTCAGTCAAGGCAGGCCCCGGGGAGGGGAGCGAGGAGAGGGCCTCACTCCTGAGGAAATCCAGCTAAATAAGGGATTGATTTAGAATAAAGACTCCAGGAATGGAGACACTGTGGAGGAACAACAGGTGGTAAGAATTGTATCCGTTTAAAAATACTAAACAGTAGGAATTATGATTCCTGAACACGATGTTTATGTTATAAACTTGGACTATGTGGTCCAATAATAATACAACTAACAAAAAACTGGAAGAGGGTGAGGCAGGGGTGAAGGAGGGGGCAGTGGTAATAGTCTCATCTTTCATAACCAGAGCCAACTGATACTGTCCGTAGCAGAAACCTACTTACAGAAAACTTACTGACTCAGGCTGTCCATGTTTTTCCTGACCCCTTCTATGAATCTTAGGAGGCTCTTTTGAGAAATAATATCTCTTGTAGCAAAGAAATATTTATTTAAAGAGCAGAAATTCCTTAGCTTTTATTTCAATTCCTTTTTCTGATTGAATTAAAATGAATACTTTTAAGTAAAAATAGCAAGGATTGTATGATCGAATTTTAATAAATTCTATCCTTACATCCATCCAGCTATTCATCCTTCTGTATATATGTATGTATAAATGTTTTACACACAGAAAAATGTCCGAAATTATGTTGACTTAATGCTACTGATCAGCTTTCTAGGTGGTGGGAATGTGAGTTCTTTTTCTCCAATCAATAACTTAGACTAAAGGCTGAGCAATAAAGAGCACTGATTGGACCTCTTGGCACAATCTTTCAAAGTAGATGGGGGCAGGTGTTAGAAATGCAGTCATTACTGTCCTAGTAAAGCTGCTGCATACTTGGGGGTGAGGAGCTAGTCCCCAGGTGCGGGCTGGCTGAGGGGAAGCTCCCTCTGCACAAGCACAGACCCTGCCTGTCTCTGCCACTCAGCATCAGGACCTCCCGGGAAGGGAGCCTTGGAAGCTCCACAGTCAGAGGTTAGGGCAGGAGTGAGGACGCAAATGCACGCACGCACGCGTGCACACATACACACACACACACACACACACACTTTGTGCACAACAAAGGCCCTTTGTAAGCCCCATGCTGACTGTCCTTCAGCATCAAGTCCTAGTCCTTCAGCATTGATGTCCTTCAGAATGGAAGTCGTAATTAAATCTGCAGCTTGTCCAAGGGTTGCCTCATGGCCAGTATTTATAGATCCTTTTTCTCCTTAAAGCACATTAGTGTTAATGAAAAAGTACTGCATCTTTAATGGAAAGCTTGGCATGGGGATGGAAAATATTATCTCAGAACATAAGTGGGAATAATTTTGTACTTTAGGCTACTCTTTTCAGGAACACCAAACGGTTTGTAAATAAAATGAGCTCAATTTGTGATGAACATAATTTTAATGGTAATCTCTGGCCTTCCTCTGTTCTTGCTACCATTATATAACAGATCACAATCTCACATTATTTTTTTTTTTGGCAAATTATTTTACAATAATAACTAAGACATTATATCTATATTTCCAAAGATCATTAGAAGGGGAGCTCTCAAAAATGACCAATCTCTAGGCCCTGTTCCAGACATCTGGGTGGTTAGAAAGTATCCCAGGTGGCTCTGATTCACAGCCAGGGCTGCAAACCATCCTACAGAGCCAGCTGGGAGAGGGGAGGTCATTCGAACAGCCATTCCCAAGACTCAGCTGAGTGGCTCTAGTGGCTACAGTTCTTTAAAGTTTTCACTGACTTAGGTGAATACCAAATAATCAGGAAGATCAAATGAGTAGATCCAAAACTGGAAAAAACTTTTAAAACACATACTAGATAACAAGATTTAAAGAAATCATGGTATAGTGAAAGTAACCAGTAAGATACAGTTTAAGAGACTATCGATAAAGCTGATGTTTAGGTGGCCAAGAGTGGCCTTGGAATCAGATTATATGAAGAAGTATTGAAGCTCTTAGTGGACCTCAAGTTCAAAATAAGCTAAGAGGACATCCAGCCAATATGGCAGACAAGGTTGACATAAGAAATCTCTCTCTCCAAACACATAGAAAGAAAAAAGCAAAAACGAGAGCAGGGTGAGTGCAAGATGAGCCTAAGGCCTGAGAGGTCTTTTTGAGCAGTAGTTCTACCCATGGGCTGCACAGGGATGCTGCTGGGGGCCTTGGCCAGAGTGGGTCCTGCAGAGAGTTGAAAGCCACAGTGGATTGTCTCTTCCATCCATGAAATCGGATCCTGGAGAACTCTGTGCACTGGCCTAAAGACAGCCAGAAAGCTGCCCTTCCACCCAGCGCCAAGCGTGAGAGAACTGCTTATGAGAACCAAAGTGCCAAGCTCACACTGTGCACAGCTGTGGAACCCACACACACATCCTCAGGCTGCATGGGAAGCTGCACTGAGAAGTGAATGTACCTTCCTCAAACCATGGGGTGCAGGGGGCTGGGGCTGAGGTAGATGTGGGGGGGACAGGTAGATGGCACAAATGTGGGGTCTAACGGGTGGGAGATCTCACTGCATGCAGTGCTGTGGGTGCCCTGCAGGTGGCTACTCACTGGTCACAATAAGGACCAGGCCTGTGCAAGGACCTGAGCACTGAGGACAACAGAGGACCAGCATGCCTGACTCAGGGTTTGGGGGGACTTACTTGTAGTTATCGTCTTCCACAAACTTCTGAAGCTCTTCAATGTATCGTACGGACTTCAAGTACTTCTGCACATGCGGCAGGGTGGTGAGGTGATCTGCAAGAGGTGGACAAAACCCAGAAGTTTCAGTCTCGCCCCACTCCAAGTCCAAGGAGCAGCATGGGAACCACTGACTTAGCCGCTTCTGGGATGCTGAGGCTCACTCTTTCTGAGAGCTGCTGATGCTCCCTGGGGCCAGGCCCTGTGCTGGCGGAGCCAGGGCTGGCTCTGCTCTTGAGGAGTGCCCCCAAATGTCTGAACCACAGACATTACCCTCTGAAGCCACTACAGTTCTTTGTCCAGGAAGGAAAGCAGAGACTTCCATTCAGAGAGGAAGAGCTGGGGACAGATGGCACCCTGGCCTCCAGAACAGACCAGAAATGGAGTCTGTTCCCAGACAGGTTTCCACTGGGGGCACTAGGCAATCCTCCCACATCTGCTTACTGCCTGTGTGGCAGGAACACGAGCCATCCAGCTGGGTGTAGAAGCCCAGCCAGATGCAGGCCCACAGCTAGAGCTGCTGAGTCCTGGTTAGAAAGGGAGGGGCCCAATGCCTAAGTCCTTGTCTGAGCCCGGCTCTGTGCCAGGTGACTTATGGGTTAGTCTGTTTTAACCTTCACCCCTGCCTCATGTAAGAGACATAATACCTTCATTGCATGGAATAAGAAACCAAAGGAACCTGCAAAGATTGCATACCAGAGAAGCGACAAAGCCAGGGTTTGACCCCAGGCCACCTGAGGCTTGTGTTATACTGTGCTGCTTCTCTTTCTGCAGACCTGCCTGGTCACTTCACTCCTCCTGAGAGGGCCACAGGTGGGACAGGCACATCAAGTGGAGTGATGGGGAGAGTGGAGGGAAGAGGAGCAGAGAGGCAGATGGGGGATGGGAGGGTCCTCACTTTCCCAGCTGCTGGAGCCCTTGAAGACTCTCTGCTCCTTGCTTGGGAGATTCTGAGGGCACTGTTTTTCTAAAGCTCGAGTTCTTATTTCCGAAATGAGGATAATGACATGTGCTTTACAAGCTGATGTCAATGGTGCACGTGAAAATGACGGTGATAAAGGCTCTGTACATGGCACAGCCCCATTTTCGTGCATGAGCAAACTTTACAGGAGAAAGTGACTCTTCAAGAGGCAGCACTGAGATGTGAACCTGAGTGTGAGCCCAAGGGCCGTGTCGGTGATTGCTCTGCTGGCAGCGCAAGCGGAGACTGCCCTGGGAACTCAGGTGCCTGTCAGGAGAAAGCTGACCTGGTCCGTGTGCCCCGCCACGCTACTGGAGGGGCTGGAGAGTGGGTGCTGCCTTCGGGGAACTCACACTGGCTTCTCTGGGGCTTGCCTGAATGGGGGCTGCTGGCTCTCTCACACCCTGTGTGTTGCTTCTCACCACTCCTGTGAAAATCCTGCTCCACAGAGGCACGCTCCAGCAGCTCCACTGCCCGTCGCCCTTCACTGCAGCCTCCTGCCTGGCCACATGGTCCTTTGTCCTCACTCCCAAGGACTGGGGCACCTGACCCACCGGCAGGCTCCACACCCTGAAGTCCACTGTCTTCTTGGATGAAATCAGTGTCCATGTGGACGGCCCACACAGATTCTGACTTCTCAGTGCCTGGAACTTGTTTCTAATGACCTTCTCCTCCATCCATCCCAGACACCCACCATCACTGTCACACTTCAGATCTGGCCACATGGAGCAGAAACCAGCCAGAGATTTACCAAATCATTTCCCCCTTCCATCTAGGCACACAGCTAGATTATATTCCTAGCCTCAGTGCGCAGAGGCAATGTGTGCCACTTGCAAGTCTAGCACACAAGACCCGCCCTTGCATGCTTCTCTGTCTTCCTGCATCTGCCAGCTGAATACAGAGTCCACAGGAGGACTCTGAGGCCATGGAGCTGGTGGAGCCACAAAGGGAAAGAACGTGGTCCCTGAATCTGCTTTATGAAGGAGTGACCTGCGAGCCAGGCCGACCTTGGCTCTGCCACTCACCAGATGTGTGATCTTAATGACTCACTATTTGGGGCCTCATTATCCTCATCTGTAATACAGCAATGGTCACATCTAGTCTGCAGAGTCTTTGTTTTTTTCTCTTCCCAGAACCAGGGATTGAACTCAGGGCCTTGCACTTGCCAGGCAGGTGCAGTGCCACTGAGCTAAATCTCCAGCCTCCTGCTTTTTTTTTTTTGTCTGCAGAGTCGTTGAAAATCAAACCTATATGTAAAGGATCTAGCATATGTTTGGTATTAAAACCATGAGATATTAAGTGATATTAAAACCAAGAGCTTTGCAGGGTCTACCTGGTTTCTTGACGCTTTCTTACTGATTAGGAGCTGATCCACATTTCAGTGATGCAAGACTTCACAATTCCAACAACCAAGGGTACTAACCATAGCTGCAGGAAACTTGTAAATCAGCAATTATTCGGAGAATATTGTTCATCTGATTGGACCTTTGTTCGTTTTCCATAATACTGCCTGAGGCAGGATATGCTGAATCAATGTAGATCAAATCCAGAAGATAGATCCCTAAAATTAAAGAAGACATTTAATTATGGTAGGAGCTCACCACTAATCAGAACAAGAGTGTGAAGGACGCTGGTCTGCTCCAAGGCATAAAGGGTGCTGATGGAAACCAAAGATACTCTTTGGATTTCAATCCCAGTTCTAACTGTTCATGTTTTATGCAGACTGCTCAACTGCAAATCAAACATCTGAGCAACAACCAAAATGGATGCTGGCAGGTTTTGGCATTTCTAGTTCATGCACTCTCCAGCAACAAGGCTTTTTACCTGCAGCTCCAATGGAAAATAATGGGATATGAGCAACATGAATGCTTATGGTTTTGTGTTTTTTGGGTTTTTTTCCACCAACCAATGAAGTTTAATAGGTCTAAGGAGTCATGCCTGGGAGAACACCTTTAGGCTGAATTCTGTTTTTATTTATTCACTTAGTTATCATCTGTTTACTTGTCAATCTGTCCACACACATACACATGCATGCATGTGCACACAAACACATCATAAATTAAGGAACAAAAGAAAGAAATTAAAAAATGGAACTGTTGGGCCAGGGATTTAGCTCAGTGGTTCCGCTGCCTGCCTCGCAAGTGGAAGATCCCAAGTTCGATGCCTGGTACCCCCCAAAAAGGAACAGTCTTCAGTAGAAAGAACTAAAGCAAGACAGAGAATTCTCCTGAGTGTATTTAATGAGAAAATAGGGTATGATGTAAAAACATGGTTATGTCAGGTGAGTGAAGAGCTGGAGGGAATGCAGGACAAGTTGCCTGGGGAGGAGGTAGGACTGTCTATGCAGCTGGAGCCACTGCACATCTCTATAGTGACCGATGGGCTTCAGGGCCAGTCCAGATTGTCTGGAGATGGGGATGGACAGTGATGACACATCCTTCCAGCAGCCCTCCATAAGCACTGATACTATACCCACCAGACAGGTGGAGCCAGCAGGAGAAATGATGTAAAGCAGAATTCAAGGGAGAAAACATTGAGCAAGCCAAAGAGGAGTGATCGATATCAATGAAAAGCATAGTTGATGGAGAAAGATTCAATGATTACAAATTTCTATGCAAGAAGGAACACCACATCAAAACACAAAACGAGGACCAGGGATTTAGCTCAGTGGTGCTGCTGCCTGCCTCGCAAGTGCAAGATCTTGAGTTCGATCCCTGGTACCAAAAACCCCCCAAAACAACAACCCCCCCCCCAAAAACCAAAAACAAAACTACAAACGAAAAGCTGCTAGGAATGAAAAGTGAATTCAGGAAAGCTGAGCCTATGGCAGCCTTGAGAATTTATATGTGTCTATATATGCAAGGCATAATCAAAATACACAGGGAGTATTTAAAATTTAAAAATTTATTACAGTAAAAGACATTGCCATCAAACCCCCCTTGGTTTGAACACTCTTATCCCATTGTTCTTTCCACTGTCTGAAGTAGTTTTGGAAATTCTCTTTCACGTCTCTACAAAGTGTGATAAAAAATAAATTGAAAGTTGCTTCCAAGTGCCATCCAACAGAAAAGCAGGCTCATAAAAACATTACATTGTATCTTCATCCACCTTATTTCACAGGATCTGGCACTGCCCAACTTCTGGCTCTTCTCCAAACTCAAAACGACCACAAAAGGTAAATGTTTTTGAGTCAATTCAGGACATCAAGGCAGCCACAACAGAGCACAACTAAAGACACTCACAAAAGATGACTTCTAGAACTGCGTTAGAAAGAGGCAAAAATGTTAGGATAAGTGTGTTCAAAGTGAAGGGGAATATTTTCAGGGGAGTTAATGGCAGTGTGCTTTTTATTGTAACACATTTTTGAAATCTGAACATTAATTGTATGTTTCAGTCATATCTCATATAGATACACAAATACATGCACATACATGCACATATATGATATAGTATTATAGTAACAATTAACAAGCTTGGTTTTATTTAAAAATATAGCTCTTTTCAAATATACATGTTATACTCACAAAATTAATTTATACTAGATTATAAAGAAAAGCTCAGAAAGTTCTAAAAAGTAAATGACATATTATCCACATTCTTGACCTTACTATAATTCACCTAAGATTTAAACATAGGAAAAATTCTAGCCATTTGAAAACATACATACAGGCACACATAAATACACACTCATAAGTAATAACTACATCAAAGAAAAAACCAAACAAATTTATAATTAAAATCTGTTTGAAGACAATGACCATAAGAATACTACATATCAAAAGTATGTTCTAGCCAGGGCTGGGGATTTAGTTCAGTGGTTCTGCCGCCTGCCTCCAAAGCACAAGGTCCCAAGTTCGATCCCCAGTACCAAAAAAAAAGAGTATGTTTTAGCCAAAGTGCTAACCAGAGGAAAACTTATAGCCATAAGAGTTTACTGTCAAACAACTAAAAAGTATTACGAACAGAGTAATTAAGTTGGTACTTAATATTAAAGTTTTGCGTGGATGGATGAGCACTGCACTTAGGATTATACATTCATTATCATATTTATCCTTCCAACAACCCATTTTAGAGCAGAGGAAAAGGAAACAGAGAGGATGTGTAACTTGCTCAAAGTCACATAGCTGGAGGATGCTGGAGACATGAGTCGAACCCACGCCTGCCTTCTCTGGAGCACATGCTTCCTGTCACTGCAGTGGACTACTCGCGCTGCATACCATGAGTCATTCATCTGCTTTTAAAATAGCTACATATTGTTATGGGAAACATAAATCACAGAAACATAACCTAGCACTTCTCAGAAGAGGTGTTTCCACTTCCTTTCTTTCTGGTGGTACCATGTTCCAAAATGTTAATAATTAGAAATAATTTCCCTTATATACAAGTTCCAAGTTTGGTAGGTTTGAATCCATTATTTATTCTTTGTCTTGACTTTGCTTTTCCTCTCCCCTCCTAAAAATGTAACTCAGTTACCTCCCCAAGGATTCCACAACGGCAATCCTAAAAATCCCTTACTGTTTCAACCACAACAAAAAGCATCCCCCAGCACTGAGCAGGGGAAGGATATGGGCCACGACGCCGTGTCATTCCAGATGCAGCACGCAGACTTCAGCCTGCCTGACTCAGAGGGGCCGGGCACAAGCTTGGCCCAGGAGCAGAGAAACTGCAGAGCAGGATGAGGGCAGAGGGGAAACTGCTGCTTCTGGGGTTCAAGAACAAGACAGAACTATCCCCTCCTTATTGTGCAGGCATTCTTCGTTTAATGACTTACCTGTTTAACAACTATTTGGACTTATGACCTGTCTTTTTTTATATACAGTTCTGTACATCTTGTTTACAGAGCCTCAGTGTCTTTTTTGGGTACAGTACATCTTGTTTATACAGTACTATAATTTTAGCTGATTGTACTGCACAGTACAGTACTGTAGTTTTATGCGTTATACATTACAGTACTGCATGTAAGAGTAATGCAAGTAAAAGCAAAGTCATCAAGTTGGAGTTTCCTTTGACCATTTCTTTGTTCTGAATAATCAATTCAGTTAATGATCTAGATGCAGGAATGTAACTCAGTCGTTAAACAAGGACGGTCTGTATTAACTCCAGGAAGGAGAAGACTAAAACTCAGAGCTTCAGAGCCTGTCCAGGCCTCACAGCCAGTGTGCTGGAATGTGCCGCAAGTCCATCTGAATGCAGCACCCATGGTCTGGCCCGCACCCCCGCCCCATCACTGGAAACACATAAGGAATGGTCTTTTCTCAACTAACATCTCAATATGGAAGACTTACCTATGGTCTGTCCTGTGGGAGGTTCCTGAGTAGCGCTCTGCAAACCAAGGCTGGAAAGCTGGGCTTAGAAGAGATTGGTACACCGTTTCCTCAGGCCACCACTAGTCCCTACTTACACCTCGGGGCCCATGGAGGGCTCAGTACTGAATAAAGGAGTATATTCTACAGTCAGGATGTTCATAATTCCCCAGCGTGCAGACTCCAGCACCTACCTATTCCTCTGGCCCTGAGAGGCTAAGCCAAGGCCATAGGAGCTGAGGACAAAGTGATCCTCCCAAAGGAGGCAGCAAGCTTTGGAGACCCCAGCCTTGGCCATGCTTGGACAGAAGCTCCACAGAGACAGCCTTTCACTCCCACAACCACCACAGCCAGTGAATCTTTTACAGTGAGTACTGTGCAAATCCAGTGAAACTTTCTATCATTCGATAACAGGAAATATATATGTGCCTCAAGTATAATGAAGTGGTAAGCACAGCCACCTTCTGCTGGTACTGTGCCAGGCACTGTGCCCAGCCCTCTGTGTAGTTAGCACTCACCACGACCGCAACTGGATGTTCACGTGTTTCCCTCATGCACCTCATGCCTGGTTCCCCAGAAGACCTACACCTCTGGAGCAAAAAGGGCTGAGTCCCAGTGTTTGGGACAGAGGTCACAGGAGCTGCTTGGGAAACCCCAGCTAAAGAAGGAAATGCAAGTTTTACTAAATAAAATGCATGTTTTATTTAACCCATATGATCACCTTATGAAGTGCTTATTATTATGTTCACTTTGTAGCCGAAGAAAGACACACCAAGAGTCAAGTAATGGTGATAATAGCTCATGATTACCAAGAATTTACCATGTCAGGTCCCGAACTAGGAGCTTTAGTCAGATTACTCTGTGTTTCATGGAGGAAGGAAGCAAGTGAAATGAGGCAGTCCCACTTGCCTGAGGTCCCACAGCAGGGAAGTGGTAGTGGCAGGTCTGCCCAGGTTACCATCCGTCGGTCTTTCCTTCACACCAGCCACAACCTCTGGCACCTGGGAGCCAGTGAGGCAAGATGGAGACACAGCCGAGCCCAGAGGGGCCCAGGCAATGATTCTTGTTGCCTGACATCTTTAGGGTCGACACTCTCCAGGAGGGCCCATGATAGGACTATGGCTACCTCACCCTGCTACACCTACCACTTCCTACTTTCCACCTCTCTCCCACCCATCTGCACTTATCAGTCCCAGGTCCCATTGTTAGGGGCCTTTCCAGGCTTGGGGGCCCTGCCGGCTCTGCCTCATGACAAGTA